ATCAGAGAATAGGACAAATCAATAATCAATAATCAAATTATCTCAGATAAGGGCCCTTGGGTTAATAATGCTGAGCAGAGTTAGGAGATGGAGAGGAGGCCACTAGGAAATCTACCAACTTGCAGGCTAGATCAGGAAGCCATGATAAATAAAACCCAGAAACAGACTGTGTCAAGCTGCAGCTGGTCCTCAGCTTACAACCGTTCGTTAAGTGACCGAAGTTACAACGGCACTGAAAACTTGTGACCCTTTTTCACATTTACGACCATTTGCAGGTCACGGGATCAAAATTCCGACGCTTGGCAGCTGGTTCGTGCTTACGACGCTCACAGTGTTTCCCCCGGGGGTCACGGGATCCTCTTTTTGCAACCTTCCGATGAGCCAACGGGTGAACCCAGATTCACTGAACAACCGTGTGACTGACTTAACCAGGGCAGCGATTCACTTAGTGGCAGGTGCAAGGAAGGTCGGCAAACGGAGCAAAACTCACCCGACCAATGTCTCACAGGAATCTGGAGCTCTGTTGTGGCTGTAAGCCAAGGACTACTTATCTAATAATTTACTTTCGCAGGACACGGTCATCCTAGCAAGCCAGCTCTTTCCTTCATGTTTTTCCTCTCTCCCCACCACCCTGTTTCCTTCCTTCTCTTTTGCGTGTGAAAGAACAATTTTAGAAAGAAAAATAAATATATTTCCGGGCTGAGCAGAAATCACAGCCAAAGGGGCTCGGTTGGATTGGATTGAAACCGATTCCTGGGACGTTTCCTTGACCAACGGTGGATCTTATCTAAACCGCTCCAAACAGGATCAGGCCAGCTGCCTGCCTGGCCTTCATTTCTCTGATCTTTGGAAGTTAAGATTTACTTGGGATTTTTCGCGCTGTCGAGGAGCTGCTCCAGCCCAGTCCTGTTTGTCAACATAAGAAGCCACGCCCCTTCCTCGGGAGCCAGCCAATCCGAAGCCCAGCAGCCACACCTGGCTGAGACAGGTAAGAACCATCCAGTCACCTGGAAGAGCAGAGGCTATAAAAGATTTTCTCAGCCCAGATGATGTGAGCAGTGCTGTTTTTGGGGTGGATGAGGGATTATCTCCTGTTTCCCCATGTCTTAGAATGGAGCTGGTTTTTTCCTTGTTTTGAAGGAAAAAAGGAAAATCAAAAGAAAAAAAGAGCCAGGAGCTTAAACATGCAGTGCTGCTTCTAGGACCTCCCAATTCAAGGACAGGTGAGTTTGCTTTTAAAGTGGCTTTGAGCAGGTGGGAAGAGGAATTCCGCAAATTTCTGCGGAATTTACCAAAGGATAGAGAATGAGAACGAAAAATGTTTTGATTTGTTCCGCAGAATATTCTGTTTTACGTATTATTCTTGCTTCAAGTTAAGTGCCTTTCGGTCATAAATCTTAAAAAACTCTGATTAATAAACTTGTGTAGCCTAAAACCTGTCAAAATCTGTCTCCCAAGTTTTATCCTCGGGAGTCCCCGCTTGGGCTTAGATCCTAATGAGTGGATTTTTATTTCTTAATGCCTGTGACTTTTTCAGGAGGAATTCACTATTTGATCGATAACTTGGTTATAAGACATCCAGGGTTTGTGTAAAAGCAAACGGTTTGCGTTTTTTTTAATGGCCTGCAAAACTCCAGATGACCAATAGGGGCAGCAGAGAGATATGGATCTCGAATGCTTTTCAGCCCCCTAGTGGCTAGCTGGAGTTTTGCAGCACAGAATCCGCGTGGGTAATCTTCGACTGACACCCATTTTTTCAATGACTATCATTATAATACAGCTGGGGGGGGGGGGAATGCAACTTAAGGCCAGTCCTTGCATTTATGACCCTCTCTGTGGTTACACCAGCGGTCTCCAAACTTGGCAACTTTAAGACTTGTGGACTAGCTGGAGAATTCTGGGAGTTGAAGTCCACAAATCTTTAGGTTGCAAAGTTTGGGGACCCCTGGGTTACATGATCAAAATCCAGTTGTTTGGCAATCAACGTGTATGTATGATGGTTGTAGCATCCCGGAGCCAAATATGCTTTGTGAGCACAGCAAAAATGTTTGCAAAAAACCAGACCTGACTCATTTTAATGACCGCCTCGCTTAGCAAACAGCAAGCTCTCCAAGGTCCAGTGACCAAATCCGTAACTCAAGGACAGCCTGCCGTTCGAATGAAACGCGAAGAGGCATGTGAGGCTGGTTGAACAACGGTGATAAACTTCAACCACTCTGAGCATTATTATTATTATTCTTTTTTGAGCATGGCTGTGGAATGACAATCTCGGGATAGCTGGGAGGCGATTAAATCCACCTTCGGCGCGTGTTTCGATCACGTTTGCTGCAAGGCAAAAAGGCGACGCCTCTCTCCGAAGGAAAAAAAATCCTCGAGTGTTAAAATAGTTTGAAGGCTCCACCTCCAGACAAGGGCTTCTGACAAACATCCGGGCTGGGCTCGTGGGGACTTAATCATCCTCCCAAGCATGGCAATTGAGTGACTTCAAAGTGGATGCGGATAAGGGAAGGCACGGGGATTCATGCAGAGGCACGCCAGCACCTGCCAGTAGCAGACCTGGATCTCTGGGGCTTTAGGAACAAGTGAAAAGGTTCTGCTTTTATTTATTTACTTATTTTGGAAAAAAGCAAGCAAATCCTTTTTTTAAAAATTTTTTGGCTCACCGCAATGTAAAAAAAAAAAAGGAGGTTGGGACTCTGGAAAGAGTGCAGAGAAATCAAGAGGATGAGGAGACAGGAGGATAAAACATATAAAGAACGGTGGCTGGGATTGGGTTTGTCTGATGGAAAAAAGGACTAGGGGTGACAGGATAGCAGTGTTTCAATATTTGAGGGGCTGCCCCAAAGAAGAGGGAGTCAAGCTATTCCCCAGAGCACCTGAAGGCAGGACAAGAAGCAACGGGTGGAAACTCATCAAGGAGAGAAGCAACCTAGAACTAAGGAGAAATTTCCTGACAGCTTGAACAATTAACTTGCTTCCAGACGTTGTGGATGCTCCAACACTGGAGGCTTTTAAGAAGAGATTGGACAACCATTTTGTCTGAAATGGGATAGGGTTTCCTGCCTGAGCAGGGGTTGGACTAGAAGACCTCCAAGGTCCCTTCCAACTCGGTTGTTTTGATTCGAATCAATTTAGAGGCGTGGATTTAATATCCGAAGATGGATAGATGAAGCTTTGAGCCCCTGGAGGACCCCATGGTTGGTGGTGGTGGTGGTGGAGGCAGAAGGAGACCTCTTCTTGGAAAAAGGAAAGGAGGGGGGATGGGTCGCAATGGAGTATCCGGAAAAGGGGCCTCCTTCTCTCCGATGGAACTGATGGCCCAAACCAAGGCCAGTTGATTCAAACTCCGCTTGGGGGAGATTTTGCGATGGGATCGAGGAGCAATCCTCCCCGCTCAGCCCTAAAACTTTTAGGAAACTTTGGATGGCATCCCAAGTCCAGCATGCTTTGCCCCTTATAAATAAATACCTCTCCTTCCACGGATCATTTTGAAGAAAAAACTTTGGAAGTCCACAGCAATGCTGAAAGCATTTTCCTAGCAAAACCTAGCATGACTCCACCATCTGAATAAACATCGCCCCAACATCTTTGGGGAAATGGCTGGGGTGACTCAAGTTTCTTTAGGGTGACTTTAAATTCTGCAGAGCAGCCAGATTGAGAAACCAGTTTTACTGGTTTTGGGGGCAGCATCTGCACAAATTAACGTGAGTTACCTCCATTATCTTGCCACCAATTTGGGCTTAAGTCCACACTAGCTTGCAAAGTTTGTTTGCGTGTTTCCCTGCTTTTCGGATCACGAGATTTTGGCTTCTGCCTTCTCTGCATTTGCCCCTCTCAAGTTCTTAGAAGTTTTTTCTCTATATAAAGTAGCCGTTTCCCATTTTTTAAAAATAAAAGAGTTACGTTCAATTCCTGATAACCTTATAAAACTAACCGACAGAGCCTTCAAAGTTTCTTGAGAGAAGTTTGTCGGCGTTGACTTCCCAGCTCAGCCCCTGAATTTCCTGGGGTTTGGAGGGACCAGTTGGAGGAATCCCAAAATAAAAATAAGGATTTTTTTTTTTTTTAATCCTGGCATTTGTCTTTTGTCCTGACGTGGGGCAGGCACGTCCCTTAGACAGGTGCCAAGTTCTGAGAAATTAAACACGTCATAAATAAAAACCAAGCGGTTAGCGCAATTGGCTTGGGATTTAATACTTCCTATTAGGATGAGATAAAAGCAGACCTGAGGTGAGATTATGCCGAGATTATGAGAACCAGGAAATTCCCCTCTGTCATTTTTTGCTAGATCACGTTTGAAAAGTGGAGGAGAAAAAAAATCAACAAAGCCAAGTTAAAATAGGGGACCCATTTGCTAGGAGGAAGATCTCAAAACGTTTTTCGCAGGGGGCCTGAGTGTTTGCTTGCAAGCCAACGGTGGAAATAACATTTATTTATATTTTTGGAAGGCAGGTCTCTTGTAGAATGGCCCAGGGGTGCTTTTCCCAGACCTGGGGGGCGGGGGGGATGTAAATCTCTTCGTGGGAGAATTAAAAAAATTAGTCCTCATTTAAGGCAGATCTCGAATCTCCGTCCCCTTTGGCAGCTCGTTTTTTCCTTCAGCCCCTAAAGCAAGGGTCTTCCAACTTGACAGCTTTAAGACTTGTGGACTTAAAACTCCCAGAATTCCTTCTCCAGTCCATGTTAGCTCAGGAATTCTGGGAGTTGAAGTCTTTAAGTCTTAAAAGTTGCCAAGCTTGAAGACCCTTGTTCTATTCTATTCTATTCTATTCTATTCTATTCTATTCTATTCTACTCTACTCTACTCTACTCTACTCTACTCTACTCTATTCCTATTCCTATTCCTATTCCAAATTCTATTCCTATTCTATTCCAGGGGTCTTCCAACTTGACAGCTTTAAGACTTGTGGGACTTCCAACTCCCAGAATTCCTCCTCCAGTCATGTTAGGACTCAGGAATTCTGGGAGTTGAAGTCCACAAGCCTTAAAGTTGCCAAGTTTGAAGAGCCTTATCCTAAAAACACAACAAAGGGAAGGGCAGATTGCGTGGAAGTTTAGCCACGCTGGCATCCGCTATCTCCGTACCCTGAAATGGACTCCTATTCTGGTTTGTCTTAGGCTTTCTGTGCGGCTGGCCAACGCTGCTCACCCCCCACCCCACCCCCCCAGCAAACGAGGTCTCTTCCTGGGACCACCCCGAGATCCCTTGTGGATTTCATGGAGACAGCAACACTCCTGCCTTCTCATTTTAGGAGAAGCACCGGCTGGGGTAGGTGTGAATTTTATTTTATTTTATTTTTCCTCTTTGCATGCAGCTCCCTCCTGGAGTTTTTGAGGAGGGAGGGGAGTTCTCAAGTGTTGGGGGTTCCTTTGTTTCTAAGAGTTGCTATTCTGGGCGTGTGGATTTTGGTTTAAGGGAGATTTGGGGAAGGAAAAGGGGGTAGGGTCTTAGAAAGATTTAGGAAATAAACCAATTGTCGACTCGTAACATATTTCTATGGTCTTTTTAGAGTTACCAAGGGAAAGGGATGGGGGGGGAAAGGGGTTTGAAAGAGCAGTGCGACAGCTTGGAAATCGAAAGCGCATTCCATAAATAGTTTTTCAAAGATAGTAATGAGGTGACTGAAGTTTCTGCAGCGCAAAATCCTAACTGGAGAACGTGATTGATGACTCTGGGCTATGGATGTGTCCCATTGGAGAATATGAATTACAATACTCCCAGGGGGTGTTTGGGGGGAAAACCAGGGTCAAGGGTGACAATGAATTGTGTGTCTCAGAGTCGGCTACACCCAGGCAGTGCCGGACATGTTAACTCCCAATAAATCCTTTGGAAGTTTGGCTCGAGACTCATGATTTAACTGGGGGTAACTGCCACAATCCTGACACCAGTATTTCTCATCGTTGGAAACTTTTAAAGAAGGGTGGACTTCAACTTACAGAATTCTGGAAGGTTGGAAGTCCACCCTACTTAAAAGTTGTTTGACTGAGAAATACTGATGTAGCATGACTCCATGTTGGCTTAATCCTGGTTTCTTATTTCTCCCAGGTACCGTTATGTCCTGCTTAACCCAGGTCTGGCACACCGAAGTGCCAGAATCTCCCCCTTCGACTCCCCAAAGTCCTATCCCGGTGGACGCCCACGAGAGACCCATCCCACTCAACCCGATCGTCATCACGTCTCCCTCTGTGGAAAACAGGCCCGCCGTCTGTTCTCCCGTGGGGTCTCCATTGAGCTCGCCCGTCGATGGGAAGACCAGGCTGGGCTCCCCGACGGAGCGGCCCACCTCGCCGATCGAATGCTCCATCTGCTTCAACACCTACGACAACCTCTTCAAGACGCCCAAGGTGCTCCAGTGCCATCACACTTTCTGCTTGGAGTGTTTGGCCCGGCTGACGGCCGCCTTGCCGCCCAACCGCGTGGAAGACCAGCTCCCGTGCCCCTTCTGCCGGCAGCTCACCGAGATCCCGCTTGAAGGCGCGCCGGGTCTCCAGACGTGCAGAGAGGTGATGGCCACCCTGCCACCAGAGCTCCGGAAGGAGAAGGCCCTCTGGATGGAAGGCACCAAGTTGTGTTGCCGCCAGTGCTCCGATCCCGAGAATGGCCACACCTGCGTCACCATCGACATCGCCCCCAGCAAGCCAGAAGTCCCCGAGACCCCCACCGAGGGCTTCATCGGGCGCCTCTCCCGCTGCTCGATATGCGACGACTGGAAACGCGTCGTCCTGCTCTCTATCCTCATCATCATCCTCTTCTGCATCATCCTCTGGCCCGTCCAGTGTATCGTCAAGACGGGGAACTTGAAGTGCCTCAACAAGTTGGGCTACCCGCGGCCGAATTACGTGCCTTACCACCTCACCACCCCGCCTCCCGCGCTGGACCTCACCAAGTTCACGGAGTGATTGCCGGGGGCGCGTGCATGGTGTCCGTGTCCGTATGGGTGAGGCTGGTCATTGTGGAGAGGGGGAAGAGAAGAAAGTCCATGAGAGTCCTAGTTCTCCTCTGGAAGGAATCGGGAAGACAGGGGTGGACTTCCCTGGCCCGTTCTTGAGGATCGTGTTGGGTTTGACGGGCCATCGCGATGCGACTCCAGGGAACACTTGGGAGTCCACCATCTTGGCCACGTCGACTCGAAACACTCACGTGCCCACTTCCACAGCCTCCCTAAGTGGCTCAATGGTTGGCCAACCTGCTTTGTTGAGGCTCAACTCCCAAAGTCCATGCAGAAGGCCACCCCCGTTTTGCACGTATGGATGAACACACTCCACCCCAGGGAGAATCGTGACTGTGGCCAAGAGAACCAACCAGCCAAACTTTGCATACTCTGCCCTTTCGTTGAGAGGGTAAAGGGCTGAGTCTCCATGCTTTGTCTCTACCTCCGGCTTCGTTTGGGCGAAAGGAAGGGACGCTTCATTTTCTATTGTTATTAAACATTTCAGTTTTATACCGCTGAATTACGCGTGGTGCAGTTGTTGTCATCGTTGTGATATTTTCCCCCCACCCGTTCAGATCAGAAAGGGGGAGGAACGATATTGGGCAACTGAGATTATAGATAAAGGTCAGAGGGAGATACTGGTGGAGCAAGGAGAGAGGCTCATACAGGGGAAGTCCTCGACTTACAGCCCCAATGGAGCTCGACGTTTCTCTCACTAAGCGAGACTTTCTTGGTGCAGCGGTTAAATGAAAGGTTGCAAAAGGGGAATCACGAGCCCTCACCCCGAGGAATGCTGCGACCGTCACAAATATGAATCAGTTGGGTTTTGATTATGTGACCATGGGGGATACTACAATGGTCGTAAGTGTGAAAAAATGGTCATTTTTTTTTCTCCAGTGCCGTAACTTTGAACAGCCACTAAATGAACCGTTGTAAATTGAGGACTACCTGTATCGTATTAATCGGGGACTTCAGCTCTTGCCTGCCTTTTGTTAAAGACCAGGACATGTTCAGGCATAAGAGAATTTGCAACCTTATATTACGATTGATCACGGCAGAAAATCCTGAACTACGGGGTCCTGCCAGTCTCGGCTCATGCTGAGGGATGCTGGGAATTGTATTTCGGTCTCTACGTTTTGCTAGGCCCTGGGTTGACCTACCTGGGCCATGCCCCAAAATAGTGGGAGCGCGGGGTCACAATGCTTCTTTAGCATCAAACTCTCCTTCTGGGATTAAATTTCTCAGCCTTAACAACTTCAGAACGAGTGGACTTCAACTCCCAGAATTCCCTGCCCAACATGAGTGAACTTCAACTCCCAGAATTCCCCGGCCAACATGAGTGAACTTCAACTCCCAGAATTTCCCAGCCAACGTTAGAGAACTTCAATTCCCAAAATTCCCCAGCCAGCATATGTGGACTTCAACTCCCAGAATTCACCAGGTGGCATGTGTGAACTTCAATTCCCAGAATCCCCCAGCCGGCATGTGTGGACTTCAACTCCCAGAATTCCCCAGCTGCAGTGGTGGGCTACAAGTGGTTTAACAACCGGTTGTGTGAGCGCACGCTTCACGCTTGCTCTAAACAAAGCCACTTATTAATTCACTATATATATATATATATTTCTTTTATATATATATATATATATTTATATATATATATATATATATACACACACACACATACATACATCCCCAATTTGTAGCCTCTGTTACAGAGAGCCAGAGACCCTTGTGGATAAATACCGTGTAGCAAGAAATGGAATTTTATCTTGCCCTTTGCATAAATTAGACCCA